CCAAGGAAGCTGAACCACTGAGCCAGATCCCCAACCACATTTTCATATTTTATTTAGAGACAGGGTCTCTCACTGAGTCGCTTAAGGCCTTGCTAAGTTGCTGAGGCTGGCTTTGAACTCACAATCCTCCTGCCTCAGCCTCCTGAGCTGCTGAGATTACAGGCATATGCCACTGTACCTGGCAATCTATGCAGTTTTGATTAGTGGTATACCAGATGCCAAGGTTTCTCTGGAGATGTGATTTATTGTAAGGTAGGTAAGAGAAAGGATGAGAAGTGGTGAGGCAGTTATGTCCTGTCATAAAGAACTACATTGGTTATGTAGAGGTGTTTGGAGTGTACCTCACCTTTTTTCATATCACAAGTGCTGGTAAAATAGCTTGATATGGGTACATTTTTATCTAAATGTAATATGTTAAGTTCTGATAAAAACTAAACTACTACATGGAGAGATCCTGTATCCATTCCTTCCAGAAGTAACTAGATATCCAATTATAGAACACACTCCTAGTCCTCTTAATCATTGGTTTGTCTTAATCCAATCAAGTTGACAATTCAAATTAACCATTGCAAATAGCATACATTTACATCATTGTACCTGTCTTAGAAGTATTCAAGGGAAGGTTGAATTCACCATGAATAACCAGGTTTATTTTGAAATGAAGCTTAAATTAAAGTAAGTTTTCCAAATTAAGGTTTTTAAAAATCATTGTTTTCTGCAAATCTACTTAATGAAGCTTTGGGAGATAGTCATATACATGTGTTTATTTATTATATTAGGCAACTAGAGGTTACTATTATTTTTCTTTTTCTTGCAAATTGGTTGAGAAATCATAGTCACATTACAAAGTATAAGTCATTGAGATACCTGTTAGCCACAGACGATCCCTGTAATGAAATTTGTCAGTGCACTAAATAGGAAGTGTGCATATGATATGATCTCTGTGCGGCTGACATGATCTTGTATTTTGTTAGTCATTTTGGCCATTATATTGGGAAGTTTTCAAAAGATTTGAAGACTTCTTGTGAATGGGAAGAAAATGTTTTACTCTCAAGGTGATATTGCTAGTTATAACTGTGTGAAAAAATGATAAAAAGGCTGTTATATTTTTTCTCTGTGGTAGGAAATAAAAAACTTTAATCACCCTATAGTTTTTGTCAAGATATATATTTTCCCATTAAACTTGACTGACATACTGAAAAACAGAATTACAGTAGAACTTCGGAACTAGTTTTATAGGAAATTCCTACTACACAAAGAATCATAGTGACCACATGCAAAGCTAATATTCTGTAGTAGTTTAAGTTTTTTAAATACCAGCTAAAACTCTAAAATACTCTAAATTTTCAAGAATACATTTGATGTAATATTTATAAACATTGCTATTAATCTCAAAATTTTTATTGCTTTGGCACTTATAACTGAAAAGGTTCTTAAGTCTTGATTTAGTTTTATCTAAATGTTACTAAATTTTAAATTATACAGATTTAATCAGTTTTATAAGCATCAAGGCATGTGTAAATATTATTGTGTAATTCTACTGAAGATTCATAGAGTTGACACAGAGAAGGTGAACTGTATATAAATGTTCTCAGTGGAGATTACACTGTCTTTGCGTTTTGTTTGTAGTAGTTATGGTGATTAATGAACCACTGTGTCCAGCTTCAGAATCATACTTTTTTTCCCCCATGGTAAAGGATGATTTTTTTTGGTATACAACACATTTGTTAAGTTTTCTGAAACCATAATAATTCAGAGAATTTGCTGACAGTGAGGTGTATATCTAGAAGTGCATGAATTGTATTATCAGGTGAGCCCTGCTAATATAGGAACAGAGCAAGACTTGAACCTAATAATATCCTCACTGTCTTATTTTGGGTTGTCTGTACTTGAAGAAACTATGACATCTTATTAAAGATTTTTCTTCTTTACTCATCAACCGTGGGGATTATTTTATTTTTTAGTTGAATTTACCCAGAGGAACTTGCATATTTGGGACCCAATAATGTTCTCTTGTTATAAACATTAATATTTAATATACTGAACATGTTATTGAATATTATTAATTATAAACCATGGGTACTACCCAATCAGAAGGCCAGTAAATAAACGTAAAACAAAATGGTATGCTGACCAATGCTCTGAGTAACAGTCCTGATTGATATTCATTTCATCAACTGCCTTGACCTAATTAAGAACAGTTTTGATTACTACAGGTTTGTAGCAGATCTGTTTTTTATATAAAAATAAAATGTTCAAAGATAAATTTTTCATATGTGAAAGAATATTAGTTAATATTTTTTGATATAATTAATAAGTTAAAAATATGGTGAAGCTCTTGAAGCCAGTGCCAGAAACCTATTAATCTTTGCAATTTAAGCTGGTGTTGATCTGTGGGACACAATATGGATGGTTTTAGTAACTGTGAAAAATGTCACTATTCTCTGTTTGGGGAATTTAGATACAAACTATTGTGATACAAAACAAATGGTTAGTTTTATCTTCTAAATTCATTGTTGTGCATGTGTCTTTTTGACTATTTGAAAATAACAGAGACCCTTGCATTTTTATCTATGTCTGTATACTATTATTTTCTGAAATACATGGCATGATCCTTTAGCTAAATTGGAAAACAACAAACAAACAAACAACAACAACAAAAAAAACAAAGAGATGCCTTGGTACTTGCTATACAGGTTAGGTAAAAATGCAAATAAAATAATATAGCCTCAATTAATTTTATTCAAATCTTGTTATTTATCTTGGGAATAATTTAATTTTTAAATTATTGAATAATTAATTAATAAAATAATTAATTGTAAAGAAAACACACTCCTGAATCACACTCAATTTTTTATTGATCTTCATAGACATATTTATTAATATCATTGTTGTTTGAAGTGATAATTATTATTACTGTCTTTTTATGTCTGTAATAATGTAATAAATAAATAAACAACTAGCAATTTTGAGGAATGACTGACTATTGGCCAGATATTTTGCTGACCACTTCATATGTGCTAATTTATTCAAATTTTGAACAAGTCCAGAGAAAGTAATTGTAAAATGAGTATTATCATTTTTTACATGAGGAAATAGATAGATACATAAATTTTCTCAGAGCTAAAGAAATGGTAGGTGGGTCTGGGATAAATTAACCTAAGTGCATTTGCAAAATAAGATTTTCCCCTTACTAATAGAATGTATTTAATAATAGGTAATGTTTCTGTGCCCATTGTAACTCAGGCAGTCTTATAAGGACTTCATATATATGTTAGGTTAGATTTGTTTTGAAACTATCATCTGTTCTTGTTAATCTGTATTTTGTCAGTTTAGAAGAAGCTGTCTCTCAGGAGAAATGAGCTCTTTGTGTTTGAGTCTTTTCCTTCTACTCTCTCAGATTTTCCAAGTGGGGTCCATAAATTAGACTGACAAAAGGAGGATTTATAAGAGAAACACAAATAAGTTTATTAATATGTGCATTGCATACACACACAGGAGCACTCAGAAATGAGTCAATCCTAGGCGTGGTCAGCTTGGGGCTTAGATGGCATCTTATCCTTTTAACAAAAGAACAATACATTTTTAGAAAAGTAACCTAATACAGGGACTTTGAGTTTCTAGGACATCAAAGTGTGGCATGGTGAATATATGGGGCAAATAATGGGAGAAAAGCCTAAGGTTAGCTACATGGATTCCTCTGCTGCCTTATCCTGACTCATGAGAATATAGGGTTGTCTCCAGTAATTAACTCATATTCTTCCTGGTGGAGAGAGGAGAGGAACACTTTTGTAAATGTATATCTGATTTTATGTAAAGGTGGAAGACAAAAGAACTATTCTTATATCCATTTCTCGGTTGCCTTCAGTTCAAAATGATCCTTAAGCTAAAGGGGACATTTTTGGGGGTGGCATGTGTTGCTTCCCTTCACATGCTAATTCCATCGTAGAGTTATACATTTCCTGTTTTGTTTCACTTTTTTTTTTTTTTTTACATAAATCTGTCAGTAAATAACTATGTGACATGGGGCAAGGATCAGTTATATTCCTGGGCACCAGTATTTTCCATATGTCAAATGAAGGTTTTGGTGTTCTGTTTTGTAGATAGATACGAAAAAATTCAGCTCTAAAAGTTTAACAGGTTGGCAGGACAATGACTAGCTTTCTTAACCACTAAAATTGTTATTGATTTCTTTATAATTTAATAAATACCAAATATATTTTGTCACAATGTTTGCTGCTTAAGCTTTTCCTTCCAGTTAATTTTAAGCCCGTTACTAGAACCACAAATATGAAATTTTTCCTTCCAGTGATATTTTTGTTGAATCTCAGAATTTTTAAATGAGTTAACTAAGTATCATGTGTACATGAAATGCTAATTAAAGAATGATCGTATTCTAAAACAGTAATTGTCATTGAATCTTGCCACTAAATATACAATTAAGTCATTTCAAAATGTATGCAGAAGATCTGAATGTTTTAAAAGACTACTTTGAAGAAATTATGAGGTTCACAAAATGTTTTTTCCTAGCATACTATAGACATTAATCTGCAACTTTGGAAACACCCTAAACATGCTACATTATAATTTTTGTTCTTTTTTTTTTTTCCTTGTTAGGAATCTTTCCCTGAAATTAACAAAAGAAGATCAGGAATCCAGGTGTTCCCATCTAAGCCGAATGCCCAGCAGTCCATCAACAGATTGGCCCCTACAAGGTGTGGAAGAAAATGGGGGCATAGATTCTCTGCCTTTCAGACTGATGTTACAGGACTGCACAGCAGTGAAGACGTTATTATTAAAGATGAAGAGAGTTCTTCAAGAGGTAATGGTTTACTCTAAGATTAATGTCTTTTAGCTCTGGCAGACAATGAGGTCTTAGAAGTGCTTAGACTCTACTCTGTCAGTAATTAACTATGTGACGTGGGGCAAGGGTCATTTAGACTCCTGGGCACCAGTATTTTCCATATGTAAAAAGAAGGGTTTGGTGTTCTGGTTTGTAGATAGATACTAAAAAATTCAGCTCTAAAATTTTAAAGTTCTATGAAAGAAAAAAATTGATGCTAAGTTTCCCATTACTGAAAGTGAGGAGATATTGGCATCAGTTATAAAGTTATGTGTGTGTGTGTGTGTGTGTGTGTGTATGTATATATATATACATACACACACACACACATATATATATATATATATATACACACATATATATTAACAAAGCTTTTGAGAGATCTATTAAATGTACTTCATGTTAATGATAGTGGGGCTTTGCTTATATGATACCATAAAAGTGTATTTTTGTACCAAAAATAATCAACCCAGGAAAATTAAATCTGAAGGTTTGAATGATTTTGTCCATTGAGTACATTTATCCTCCCGCAACCTGTGCTCATTTACTAAAATGTTGAGCATGTAAAGAAAATATAATAGAATTCTTTTACCTTTTTTCCAAGAGTTAGACATTCTTTAGCATTCAAATATGTTATGGTATTATGGTATCATTATAATATTTATATTTTTGAAAATTTCTATAAAATATATGTAGACTAATACTACTTTATAATATGCAGAGAATTTCAGTGATTTTAAATTAATTACTCTAGTAAGTAAGATTTCAAAACCATAACCTGAGATTTGTGACTTCATATTCAAAGACTTTTATTACATAATATTACCTTTCAATAGATTTGTCTTTATTAATAGGAGAGTCTAATGGTATGAGAACAAAAGATATTTATTATTTAGGAGAAATATTATCATTGTTAAAGGGCTAGGCGGAAGCCTGAATCTTGAGATCCCAACTGACTGGATTCAGTCAACAGCCCACATTGAGAGTAAGGGAAAATTACATAAAACAGAAAAATGAATTTATCAGAACTTTGCACAAACTGGGAAGACAGCTAGTTTTCCTTCTCCTAACCCACAGAAACATTCTATTTTTTAGAAGGGATCATTAATGGATAACAATTGCCAAGAAAGATCATGTGTCAATTCAGCCAGCCTGTGTACCCTGGAGTGGAACCTTGAGATATATTGAATTCTGGTTTCCTGGTCCTTCCACATCCTGTTATCTCCAAGGGACTTGTCTTTGAACTGTTGCAGCAGTTTCAGCCTCTTTGCTCAGCATGAAATGGCAGTCTGTGGTATGCAGGGTTGGAGAAAATAGTGTCAAGAACAGGTTGGCAGGAAAATGACTAGCCCTGAGAAAACAATTGAGACTTAATTGAAAATGCCCAATTTTAAGGGAGTCCATTATGTTATGACTGCCTTATAATAATGATTACTAACATTTAACACTTTGATAATAGTAATTCTAGAAACTTTACTGGGGACCAGAATTGAATCAGGGAGAAGGTAGGCAATCTAAATGAAATGATTATATAGGCTATTGGAGGCATCTAGTGATGTGTTCTCATTAGCCAATGTAAATACATACTGGAGAAGGTCTTTTTTGTGTTTGTGTGTCCCATACATGTTTATGTCACTGGGGTGGTCTTTGTGCCTAAACTTTATAAAGTAATATGTTAGAATATGCTAGAGTTTTATATATATATATATATTATTTGTGTATTCATATATTTATATATAATTATATATGTATAATTCTATAATTAAATGGATATATAATTTTGTATATCTATTTAATTATAGAATTATACATATATAAAACTGATCTCTGAGAATTTCAGTAACTTTGTGAGCTGGTGGTTAAGGAATGAAATTAAATTGAATAAACAACACTCAACAAATTATGTTTTAAAAAGGCTAATCAGCATTCAAAACTCATTTCCTCTTTATTTTACTACTGTATGTACTTGCAAACTTCTATACACTATTGGAGTTGTATGGTAAACTTCTATATAATAGCAGCCAAGCATCCTTCCACTTGTACATTCATTTATATCATTTTGATAGCTCAAAACCAGCCATGTAGGAGTATTTATGCCATGGAAATTGGCAAACAACACAAATTAGGGCTTTTTATTTTTGGCAAGTCTGCTGTTAAATATTTACCAGCCAACACTATGTCTGACTACATGGTTTCTCTACTGACAGCACAATATTTTTAAGCACATGAATAGGTAAGACAGAATCTCCCCAACCTCTAGCTTAACATGCACTCTGAACCTCTTTGAACAAGACAAACTTAGTATCACCTTTTTTTTTTTATAAGAAGATAGTAATCTTAAAGTCTGTAATATTTCCCTATTTAACTTTCTACCTGTCTCTTTGGAATGAATTTTAATAATAAATCAATACCAGTAAAAGAGAAGTAGGAAGAACCAATAGGAAGAGTTGAGAGAGTTGAGTTGTTTTGAGGGTACTTAATTTCACAATTTTGAACTATTTAGTGATATTCACTATAGAAGAAATTCTAAGAATTTAGTGAGATTGTTTTTATATTTCCATCCATTTTTCTCCCTTAAACAGAACTAAATAGAATTGAGTTTTAAAGTGATGTTTGATTACTAATGATTATACATGTTTGTGCAGCTAATTCAGATCAGTTTTTATTACAAACAAGTAAAAGCAATTTGGGGGTGAGTATCGAGGATTGAACTCAGGGGCACTTAACTACTAAGCTATGTCCCCACCTGTTTTTTGTATTTTATTTAGAGACAGGGTCTCCCTGAGTTGCTTCCTCACTAAGTTGCTGAGGCTGACTTTGAACTTGAGATTCTCCTGCCTCAGCCTCCAAAGCTGCTGGGATTATAGGAGTGGGCCACCATGCCTGGCAAGTAAAAGCAATTTTATTATGATTAGCATAGACAACTGTTTTTAAAATAAGATAATCATAATAGATACCTTTAAAAATCATCAATTGAATTATTCTCTAAGCTAAAAATTTTTAAACTACAAATCAAATTTCATTAGTTTATTGAGTTCACTACAAATTATTCATCTTTGATTAAAAATATCTTTTTAATAAAAGTCCAACTTTTGTAAACAAATTATTTTGTAACTGTGAGAAATCCTTATTATTTATTTTTAAACTAAAGTAAGTACTTAATTTTAATACATCTCAGCATAATATGTCCTTATTTGAGTTTTTATCTTGTTTATGAGTTTCACAAAAGTCCTTGTGAAATACACAGATACTTTAGTTATCTTTCAGTAACTCTTGTTTTAATAGCATTTTATCACATAGGTATTTGTTCATACCATATCAATCCCCTCCTTAACCCCATTCTAATAACATTCCTTAAAATTTTGCCTTACAAACTAATATATATGGGCACATTTTATAATAAAGTATCCTGAAAAAGTAAATTAATTGAAAAAAATGGATTTCGAGTCTTAAGTATTGATTTTATATATTAATTTTCATTGATCTCTTTGAAACCTGTTACTTGATAGAATTCCATGCATTTATGACATTTTCAATTTAGTAAATAAAGATTTTCTCTCTGACAAAAATAAAATTATCATTTGTTATTTTGAGGGGACATATACATGTTTCATTTGAAAATATTCAGATCTGTTGGGTGGGTTGGCACATGTCTGTAATCTCAGCTATTCAGGAGGCTGAAGCAGGAAGATCCAAGTGTGGGATCAACCTTGTCAACTTAATGAGAGCCTGTCCAAAAATAAAAAATTAAAAGAGTTAGGGAAGCAGCTTAGTGAGAAATCACCCTTGTGTTCAATCTCCAGTACTTAAAAAAAAAAAAATCTTCTTTTGGTAAAGTATCACATTTGAAATGATTTTTGTAGGTTTGTTTAAATTTTTTTTTCATTGGCTAACTGCCTTGGATGCCATTAAAATTCTAAATCCCATTAGCTCATTCAGAATGTTTTCCCTTTTAGCTAATTTGTCTTTAACTGGAATTTCATTATTCATTTCATACCTACTTTGGGTTTTACAAAAAAAAAATGTTCATCTATTAATTTATTTTGGGGATTAGTAATTCCTCTAGTTTGTGCTGTCATCATAGCAACATAAATAATACTTAACTAATCCTGCTTTGTGAATTATGTTTGCTCTGCTAATATATAATATGGACTTTCAGTTAAATATAATTATTAAAGTGAATATAACAGGAAAAAAGGAATACACAAGTGTGTTTGTGTCTGAATCACTTCAGGATAGAAACCAGCTATGGAGGTACCTAATAGCTGAAGCTCTGAAGAATCTTCTTCAGCAAGCCCAGTGTTGGGTCCAAGCATGTGAATGCTGAAGGCTTTCCAAGTGATTCTTCCATGAATCCCGGAATAGAAGCACTGGGCAAGGACATTGTGTTACAGAGTGTATACATTAAACACACTTGCCCTAAATACTTTTCAAAATTGCCTATCACTCTTTTTCAACTGTTCATACATGAGTGATGTCCCAGTTTCTGTAGTATTTTCAGAATTGTTCCAATCCTAATTTTCCCACCTACCAAACCAGTTTCCTCATTGCAGTCAGACAAAAATGAATATATGATCATGTCACTCTCCTTTCTATACATCTTTGAATATTCCATAATTGCCTTCATAATTTTCTCAGTAGCTTCCATGACAGTCTACATCTCCTAGCAGCTTAAACAATTTATCCTTCTTCATAATAATTATAAATCTTCTCTTTTACAATGAGACTCTAAGGTGCCTAAAGAGAATGGTTTTGTAATCTTGTCCCTTGTTGTGTCTTCCCAACCTATCACATATTTGTGGCTTCATATACAAATGAAAGAAAAATACATTCTATTCAGATTCTAGCCTGCCTTTAAAGAATTGTTAATGGAATATAAATGATAAACTTGAATGCCTGATGGAATAAAGATCAAACTAAGTATATAGCAGGTTTTCCTCCTTTAAAAGAAGTGTAGACTAAGCTTTTCAAATGAAGTC